CACCGAATTTAGTTTTTGTTGATGACGGGAGAGCATTAAACCAGCTGCTGCTTTTTGATGCAGCCATCTCTCCTCCCCTCTGTCTCTTTTGAACAAGGTATCGTGGCTTAGGGTTGTGTCTTACAGGTCTAATTCTACAGTGAGGGTTTGTTTTTTTTCAAGTGAATGAAAAATTGGGAAGAAATAACAAGTTGTACAAGCCAGCCAACACTATTAATATGACCATGAAACGGATGAAGCAAGTAATCTCAAGCAAGCCACGGGTTCCCATACTGCCAGCACAGTCAGCAGGAGGGGTGGATAATCAGAAAAGGGAACACTTCCTCCCTTCCACTAGCTTAACCAACTATGGAAATTAAAGTTCCCTCTCAAAGAGGTTAACAGTAAAGATGCACAGCAATACCCTGCTCTGGGAAAGTCCTCCTGCACCACACAGATGGGCCCAAAAACTCCCTGGGGTATGTCCACCAGGCTTTCCTGCCCAAGGTCTTCAGGGAAGAAGGTGAACGTGCAGCAAGGAAGGAGACCAGACGTGACAAGGCTCTGGATTGATGGAGACAGAAGTCAGCTCCCAGGGTATGAGACCCTGGGAGGGGGCTGAACTAGGAGGACAACTGCCAAACAGCTCCTCAAACCCAACAGAAATTTGATTGTCAAACTTGGAAGTGAGGTAACAAGCCTGGTTGACCAATTAAAGATGACTGGAACTGCTCTTTGGACAAAAAATTATACACTGGAGCTATACAGATGATTTTCCTTTTCCTAAGGGAAGCCCATATTCCGTGCTAGAAAATACAAAGGTTTCTGTAGTTCTGGACTAAATCTCTGTGGTATTTAGTAGATTGGAGCTGCACAAAACCCAACCTGTCTACTGCCAACTCCAGCTGTGGCACTGGCAGAGTAAATTGTCACCGGTCCCCAAAAGATGCCATCACGGATTGCTGCCTTACCAAATGTCTGCACAAACCAGCTCTGCAACATCACGAGAGAATGTGCAAGAAGCCCGTGGAAGGAAAACCCTCAACACATTCCAGTTTTCTTGTATCAAACTTTCCACCTAGGTATCAACAAGCATGGAGATTATGGAGATTTTTCGACCCAGCAATCAGGTTAAATGTCCACACCATGGAGAGATGAGAGCGCAAAAGTGTTTGTGGTTTGTATACTGTATTTCAAGATATGTGAATTTTACACTAAGAGTACCCAGAAGAGAGTGCAGTATTGGAACTGCAGAGCTGGAAACATGCGGCTACAGTGAAAAGATGGCGTGTGAGTATCTGGTGCGTGACAATCACACTTGACATTCTCCAAACCCCTACAATGCTGCGGCTTTGCAAAGAAAAGGGGGCAGCAAGTTGCTCATAAACCACAGCTTCATTTCACAACGGAAAACTTGTATACTATAGTCTCAACATTTTTTCCCCTCTGTTTGAAACAGAAGTTTGTGATTTGTGACTAAATTTTGAAATCTTCATTAGAAGTTTCCATTCCTCCTTACAAAAGAGACCCTTCAGAGGTGAAGAACAGGAAGAATTGGCAATGCTGAAGCAAACACAACTCGGTGTCGCTCCCTGAGTTACCACTCACTGATCACTTGCAGGGATCAAGCAGCACCTGCTCATCGTCAGTGCCACTGCATCACTGCCTAGCAATGGGAAGTCCTTCCGAAGCACTACGAGGAGATACCATGGGCGACAGAAACAATGGACCTGATAGAGCACCGTCGCTTTGATGCTGCTTTTGTGTCTACCAACCATCACAGCGTAACACCATGTCCTGAGACGTGCTCCTGCTGGCAGTCACACAATGCTGTGAGACATCCATGCGATGTCTGATATTACTGATACTGAGAAGCTGAAGAGTTCCTCACCACTATGCAAGTCACTGATCCTTCCACAAAATGACTGCAGAATCAATCATATCTGAAACTCAGCACCTCCTCCAGCTCTCATGCCCCAAGCTCCCTCTCATTTCCCATGTCTTCTCTGCTAAATGGATGTAAATAAGCACAGAGAAAATTAATCCTAAACTCACCTCCTGCCAAGCCCCATTCCAAAAATGCAGATCCTTGTCAGTGTGTCTCTTCTCTGTGTGGTTTTGTCTCTTCTCTCCTTGCTCCTGTCTCCTCCTGTTTAATTGTTTGACATTAATTAAATACAGACCTAGGCTTGCCTTAGCATATAAAGATAAACCTCGGTCATAAGTGACTTAGGTTGGAGTTCACCAGCAATCAGAGCCCTGCAACCTTAGCTACGAGTAAAATGAAACTCATTGGTAGGTTTGGGAGAAAAAAGAAATTACCTTCTATTGTCTAACCAATCTGTCTGGTCTCCTGACATCTCTTATACAATGCTCTGCAGAAGTAACTGGTTGTCTGAATTTTTTCTTCCTTAGTCATATTATCACTGTGGCACTACAATAGAAATTACTAATAAAACATGTTAGTAATGCCAGTGTTTCACTGATTTGACTTAGGTCCTCAGTCTAACAATGACAAGTGTACTGCAAAATACCATCTAGAGGACAAACTGCCAAAACAGAGCATGCGAAACTCAAAGGGATTTCTTAATGAATCTCATTAACCACCTACCCCTTCCAGTTTTGGAGTAGGTCACCAGTGTAAAACATACATATGCTGATCTAAATGATTTATACAAGTGTTGACTTTAAATCAGAGCTTTTCCTGGAGGTCTTGTTTATGCCTGGAGCTTTCTGTAGTCAAATAATTGCCATTGCCACTGTTTTAGTTGTTTTACTATGTGAAATAGAAACAGCTTTGTGCTAAGCGATACCTAAACACAGAAGCCAGAAAAAGATGATCCCTGCTGCAGCTAATTTATTATTTAGGAGACATGAGATGGGGGCACAGGAAAAGGCCGGTTTCATCTGATCACACACAGAGGTCTCCATTGGAGCTACACTTCCCTGGTGCCCTCCCTGGCCAGCAAAGGGTGTGCACACTGAGAAGAGATGCAGGACAGCCCACTTACAGCTGTATCACTCCACTGACAATAAGCTTTTGTCTTGCCTTAAAAGGATGTCTTCATTCGCAGTTTATTGCAGGCAGCAGAAAGGAATAGCTCCCCCTGAAGCCGTCTCCTGTGACTCCCCCAGCCTCACCCTTGTCCAGCGCAAGGGACAAGTGTCGGAAGAGACAGGGGCTGGCGGTATCTTTCATTAAGTGGCAAGTCACAAAGCACTTCAGCAAATAAAAGCACAGAGGAAAAGGAGACCTCTGAACGGTGCACAGAGCCTGGGGTCTGAACGTGACACAGGAATCAGTGGCCTCGCATGGAAATCAGCTCAATCCGTGAGCCACGAGGACCAAGATCAAGGACACCTCTACTTCCAGAAGAGGAACCTCTGGGCTCCAGTTTGGTACCTGGGACTGATTCATAATAAAATTTACCATTATTCAGAGGCAAGAGAGAAGTAAGATGCCCCTACTAAGAAAGTCAATAGCCCTTCATGGATGATCCGTTAATTGTATAGGTTCTCCCTGGTTCTCCCTTCCTTAAAAAGGGAGGAAGAATTCTACTTAGGATAAGGAGAATAAACTGCCTACTGAAACCAGGAGCCTATGCAAGTAGCATCACTTGATGTCTCATCTGGAGACGGCTGGAGAACCTTGAAAGAACCTCAAGCCTAATGTTCACATTTGCTTGATGGGATTTGGAGATCCAGATACTTGTAATGTTGTTTAATTAACAAAACCTATTTTCTCTTTATTTTACCAAAACCTGGTCCATTTCAGGTAGACATCAGAAGTATCACAGCTTCATGAAAGTATGAATTTCACATATCTCAGCAGCTTTCCTCACTCACCAGCAAGCTTTGATGCCCAGTGAAATAAACACAGTTCCTAAAACATTTTCCATAACACCTCTCTATTTAGCAGCCACAATAGCAATGGCATCAAAGTCAGCAGCACCTGGTTTCTGCTATGCTCAGGAAAAGGAGCTTTCTTTGCAAAGGAGTAATAGAAAAACGCCTCGCATGGAAAAATAATCAGCAG